GTCCCTCTGGATGGCATCCCTTCCCTCCAGCGTGTCGACCACAGCGCACAGCTTGGTGTCATCGGCAAACTTGCTGAGGGGCACTTGATCCCGCTGTCCATGTTGCTGACAAAGATGTGTTGTTTCCAGCTGTTTACACCTCTGGATGACAGCCAGGCACTCGGGTAGATACAAAACCTTCAGTGCCCGCTGCTCTTGGCACACCCGTGACACATCCACCCGTCCCTGCAGCATCACGGCCACCGCCAGCTTTGTGCATTTGTTTCATACCCCGCGCCAGCTTGTGACGAAGTTTGGATGTGAAGCCCAGGTCCCGGTTGTGCTGTACCGATCTGGGATGAAGCAACTTTGCTTTCCTAGCCAGCAAGGTTTGCAGGAGCCAGAAGTGTCTCCTTAAGCCAGCTCATGGCCGGGCGATGCGCTTTTTCCATTACCACCCCAAACTCTGCCCGGGGTCTCCATCTCCCTTGGCAGAGTGCTTCTTGCATCTACTCCTCCACAAACAGAGCACGACGTGTGAGATTTCTTTTTTTTTTTTTTTAAGTGGGGGGAAAAAAAAAAATAAAAATAATCCCCAAACATCATGAAAACACACCGTGGAGTTTGCTGTCCCCCAGCCAGGGCTGCAAGAGGATGGGCAGAGAGCGGAGCTGCCAACTGGTTGCTCAATTCTCGTGGGGGCAAGACGGGAACACTTGGCAAAGCCCGTGTGTGTCCCCCCTCGCTGCAGCTACGTCCTGCAAGATATGAAGCAATATTTCCAGCCGGGTAGCCTGCAGCTCTGAAACAGTCGCAGCTCCATCTGTGTGAAATGCAGCTCATCTCCAGCGGTGTTCGATGGGCACGTGAGTTTTTGGGCTGGTTGCCTGTGAGGCTGGGAAGTTTTGTTTGAGGGATGGCTGAGGAGCCATCGACAAGGTAAAAATCTCTGGTGATCCTGCTGCCCGCGTGGGGTTGGACGGGATGAAGGCGTGTTTGGCGTCGGATGTCCATGCGGTGGATTTTTGCTGTGGCCCCGGCTCCAGGGTCCATCGGTCTCGGAGATGCTGCTTTGGGGTGTCCTGCGGATGCACCGGGATGGGGTGCTCGGCTCTGCCCCGGCACTGCGGAGCCTCCTGCTTTGCTGCTGCGGGGATCATTCCCTTGAATTAAAAGCAGTGAATGAAAACCAGGCAGCGCAGCCCTGGTTTGTAGGGGACCTGATGTCTCATCCCACGCTTTTTTGTTTCCCTTTATGGGCCAGCCTGTGATGCTGGACATGTGGCTGGGATCTTGTGCGTGGTTCAGCACAAGGTTCAGCTCTTTTGCCAAAGCTGCTTTTCCCCTCCACCGTGGGACCCTCGTGAGCACCTGCACGGTGTCTAACGGGGTCCAGCCTCACCGGTCCCGTGGCTGCTGTTATTAGGAGTCTCCGCAAAGATACGGGGGTTAAATCCACGCGTAGTCCCTGGGGCTTTGCAGCCTCTGTGCTTGCTCAGGTGCTGGGTGCTGCCATCCCTACCCGGGCCAGGCTCCCAGCGTGGCTGCCCAGAGCAGATGGGAATGAGGGATGGTTTTAATTAGGTCGGGCTCCCGGTGTCCCCTGAGCAGCGGGTCACACGTGACGATGGTCCACGCTACTGGAGGGATGCTCATCCTGGAGGGGAAGCGGGGAGCTTTCCCCATCAGGCTGGCTGATGGCTTTTACAGCTGCATTACTTTTCCAGGTTTCTCCCTCTTTTAGCCACCCCTTTCTCCTTCCCAAATCCCAAGTCCCTGTTGGCAAACATCTTCCCTAGCAATCCCCTTGCTGAAAGGCACTTCAGCGAGTGACGCCGGTGCCTGCACATCTCCCTGGACGATTTGCCTTACCCAGCGCGGTACAAAAGGCGAGTAAGTGGTGGCAGAGGAATGGATTTAACAACTGATTTGCTTTTTTTTCCCCTCTGTTTGACAGGTTACGGCCAAGACTGCCTTCCTGTTTATCTTACCTCAGTATAACATTAGCGTGCCTACAGCAGGTAAGAGATGATGCTGCCACAGATGCGCCAAGGAGAGGGTAGAGTTGTTGTCTGCCCTAAAACCTTGCTGCTAGCTGGCCTGAGCTCACCCTCTACTGATGCACACTGCTCAGGGCCTTGTCTGGAAGTAAAACAGGCTTTAAGAATAAGAAATGTGGGAGAAAAACAAAGTTTGAATGGCTCAGAACACGCTGATCATGTCTGCTAGTCCTCATGCTGCTGGGATTGGGAAGAAATGTTTTCTGGGGCGTTTTAGGGATTCCTCTGTAGCCTGTTTCTGCTGTGGTCAGGCCACTTGGCGTGCTTTGCTGGGTGAGGATCCTCCTCCAAGCCTGGTCAGGCGAGATCAAATTGCCTGATTGTATGCCCAAAGTAGCTGCGTGCCCTGCCAAGGAGCAGGAGGGATTTAGCTCTTTGCTAAGCGACAGGGGCTGCGCAGGTAGTTCCCGTCTCGCTTTATTTATTGGGGACGGCACAAGGTGAGGGTGTGGAGATGCGCGTGGTGCGCAGCATCCCCGCTCCAGGCAGCTTGTGGTCCTGATGCACGCCGAGAGTAATTCAAGAAGGCTCCGAGCTGGCGCAGGTTCAAGCCCGATGAACCAGAGGACGTGCCCCAGCTCCTGCTTCCCAGCCAGGAGGCAGCTGGCAGCTCAGTCCCTGCTTGTATTTTGGCTGCTGGTTGCTACCTCCGAGCCGAAAGCTCCTCCGAGGCTGGCAGCGATCTGGGCTCTGGCGTGGAGGCAGCAGGAGGTGGTTTGGGTAAAACCCCGGGCTCGGGACGGGCCAAACGCCCGCGGCACAGAGCCTGGCTTGGTGGCAGAAAACTGCAGTTCATTAGAAATGTTTGAGCAATCATCCAAGAGGGGTTATTGGGATTAGTGAAACTAGGATGAGGCAGACAAGCGGAAGATAAAAGGTCTGCCCTTAAAATCTTTGATTGTCATGGTTGAAGAAATCATGCAGCTTGCAGATTAAATTGTGGTCTGTGCTCCCCTATGGCACAGTCCAAACAGCTTCCGCTGCCGTTAAGTGATTTATTCTTTCCTGATATCAGAAATCTCAGGGCGGGGGGCACGTAACCATCTCACGGACCAGGTATTGGGGTATCAGTACAGGGCATGAGCGAGCTGAGGCCGTGGGGAGAGAGACCTTGGTGCAGCAAGCTTGTTCGGAGGAAGGGTTATTGCTCACCTGAATTTTTCCAAGGCTGTTTCACATCCCTCGCAACAAGGATGCTGTTGCCTGTGAGTCGCAGATCTCGCTCTCATCTCCCGTGCTCAGCACACGCACGGCTCCTGCTAGAGCAGCTTCTGAGATGCCCTGGAGAGAGGAGAGGAGGCAGAGGAGTCGCACACGTGCATAATGTTATTTTCTTTAGTCTTGCAGTTCTTTTATCTTACGCTGGGGTTACGAGCTCTGCGATACAGGCAACGTTTTTCACCTCTGGGTTTGCACAGCACCCAGCCAGGGAGCTCCTAAGGCCCAAGTGTTTTCACGTCCTTACGCCAGGTGTTTTCATAAATCCTATTCAAACCTTGTTCACGTACCTCAAATCTTATAAATCTGGACTGAAGCTTTGTTCGGGGTTGGTGACGGACGAGTCGCTTCCCAACATTGATATTAGGAGAGGATGGTCAGGATCGGGGTAAGGGAGAGCAGCAGCTGGGGGTGGGCTGAGCTTCTCATCGCGATGCTCTCTGCAGCGTGCCACAAGGACAGCAGCTTTCCCCTCACTCTGCTTCTTGCCCGTAAGCTGCAGGGCTGCAAATAGTTGCCTAAATGCAGACGTCTGGGGTATTCTGGGTGCTGTTGGGTCTCCTGTTGCTCCAGAAGAACAAGGCCTCCCATGGGTCCTATTTCTCATTTGCCAGCCCTGTGCCGGATCTCTTAATAGCACAAAGTATCTTAGGAATAGCCCCCCCCCTCCACTAACCCTTAAGCCCCTACCTGGAAATCATTTGGGTCAAGGGGATTTGACCCACCATTTGGTCTCTCTGCAGATGGGGAACTGGTCCAGTATCACTATGGGCTGAAGGATCTGGTCACCATCCTCTTCTACATCTTCATTGCCATCATCCTGCATGCGGTGGTGCAAGAGTACGCCCTGGACGTGAGTGCTGTTCGGCGTCTCGAGATGCCAAAATATCTGCAGTACCCTGGGGGGATGTGGTCCTACTGCAATTTAATGCCACTCTGGGGGCTGGGGTGGTGATGAGTGAGCCTTCATCTCTGGGGGCTGCTTGGGATGGGGAGGAGGAGGAGGGACAGCTGTTGACCCAGTGGCTCATGTTTTCTTGTTCCTTTTCTCTCCCTCTGCTCCTTCCCAGAAAATCAACAGGCGTCTCCATCTCTCCAAGGTCAAACACAGCAAGTTCAATGAATCGGGGCAACTGGTTGCCTTCCACTTCACCTCTGTGATTTGGTGCTTGTATGTCGTGGTGACGGTAAGGCACGGGGCTGCCCGGGCTTTGGGTTCCCTGGGTGGGATTTGGGGTTTCTGGAGACGGGCACGTTTCAGCAAATTTAGTTTTCAAGTGTGGTGGGTCTTTCCAGCCGTGGAGCGAGGGCAGTTTCAGGACATCCTTCTGCTTCGTGCCAAGCACAAGCAAATGGGCTGTAAAATATTTTCAGAGCTGAACCCCAGAAATCTTGCCTGGCATCTCCATCTGCAGCTCCAGGACCTGCCTTCGTTCTCAGCCTTATTTTCCTACTTATTTGAGTTCAGTGCCTTGGGGGTTTCGGATGCCCTTTACAGGGACGTGGGGTGAATGGGCAGATGTTTGTGATCCCTCTCTTGGTGAGCTGATGGCGAGGGGAATGCTGAGAGCAGGGAAATCACATCATATCTTAGATTGCGTTGGGGATTTTGCAACCCATAATCTCTGGGAGAAAAATTGGGAGTGGCAATGTTTCGGTTTTGGGAGGCAGGAGCAGGGCAGAACAGGCAGCAGTGGAGAGATACAGCTATTTTAGCAGTGTGAAGTGATGCTGATGCTTCGCTCCAGGTGGCCGTTGGGGTCCAGCTGTGGTGCCCAGCGGTGCTGGGGATGGATGCTTGGGGGCAGGTCCCCTCCACACTGCTCGGGGGGTCCTGCCAGCCCCCCTTAGAGGACTGCTACCCGCTCCAGGCCAGCATTTCTGGGCATCTGCTGGCACAGCTCCTGCCTCGGAGGACTGTGGGGAGGGAAGCTTTGGCAAAACAGTCAAGACCACTTTATGGGCTGCCCTCACCCAGCGCCAGACCCATCCCTCACCGGCTGTGGGGCTGCAGCCTCCTGTGCAAAGCCACGTGGCTGTGATGTGCTCCCCAAATGCCCCCCGTTTGCAGAGCAGGTCACCCTTCGCAGAGCTTACGCCACCCCAGGCCCCCTGAGATGAAGAAAGGGCTTAGGGCAGACAGGGCATGGACAATGGTGCCAGACAGGTCCTGGGCAAGATGAATTTTCTGTGCCAACATCTCTTTGCAAAGCCCAGTGCAGCACCCCTGCAGCAGGAGCTGTGCAAGCGTGAAACGAGAAGGGAGCCCCATCCTGTAACGTGCGCTGCGAGCGTAAGGCGAGGGGCTGTAGGGGAATGCAGGCAGGTGGGAAATTAAACTATGTGATGCATATTAAATTATTTTGTAGGCGTTTTCTGTTCCCCTTTCTCTTCAGAAGTACTTCTTTTTGCTTAAGTGATACTCGGATTGGAAATGCCGGTGGAGAAGCAGCCCCCACCGTGCCATGCGCATGGTCGCTTCTAGCCGTGCTGCCGGCATCTCACTCCCACGCCTCCAGAGCATCCCTCTTGTGTTGCCCAAACCCCAAAGCATCCTATCCTGAACTTGGGGCCCTCTGTGCAACCAAGCAAGCAGCCTTCAACCCCCAAACATGGCGGGGGGGGCCCCGTAAAACTTGAGCGGAGTGCTAGAGACCCATGAATGTGGCTGAGCTTTGGGGAGCTGAGCCCTGGCTTGTGCGGGGGACACGGGTTTTACTGCAGGCTGAAAGGACTCAGGTGTCATCCCCCAGTTCCTGGTTTTGCTGTAGCATTAGCCTGCCCCATCGTAACCACGCGCTGCCTGTTTGTTTTGCTGAAGGCTTGCATCTTTTCTTTTTTTCAGGAAGGATACATAGCAAACCCCCGGAGTTTGTGGGAAAACTACCCGCATGTTTATCTTCCGTAAGCACTTGCAAGGGCATTTTGTTCTCAGGCTGACCACTTCCTTCCTCTATACGGTTTTCCTGGCAGCTGGGAGCGGGGTGCTGACAGCACAGTGCCCTTTGCATGCACCCTGCTGCAAGGGTGCTGCAGTGAGATCCTGGGGGGACGGGGGATATCTCGTTTGTGGCCCTGGGGAGGGTGTTCCCAGAGGGTTTCCTCCATGCAGAAGGTCCTGTGAGCTTGGTTACTTACCCTGGCTGCTTCTTGTCTGCATCACCTTGGGCAACTCGCTTTGCTGTTCGTTTTTCATAGTAGAAGCGAAGTGGGGGATAATCCTCCCTTCTTGGGTTTTTGCAAGAGTGAGGTTTGCTGAGAGCATGGAGACGGCGGCACAAGCATCTGGATAAACTCCAGGCACGGCTAGCTCGGCTCAGCGTATAATTTCAGCCCAGAAATGATGCCTTCTAAATCCCATGGCTTCAAAGCGGTGGAGGCATTGCCTGGTGTGTGTGGCCAGACGCCTTTCCTGGTGTCTGGGTCCTTGGGGTCCCGCCATGCCCCAGGCTGGCTCACACAGTTCATCCCTGCGTTTCAGGTTCCAGGTGAAGTTTTTCTACCTGTGCCAGCTGGCATACTGGCTGCACGCCCTGCCGGAACTCTACTTCCAAAAAGTTCGCAAGGTGAGAGCCAGGCACCCTGGGGATGCTTGAGGTGGTTTGCCCACCGGCTTTGGGGAAAGCGAGCTTTGGGAGAGAGCGGGTGAAGAGGGGCCAGGGGTTAATTTGGCTTTCTGCCCCTGCCAGGAGGAGATCCCCCGCCAGCTGCGGTGCATCGCGCTCTACCTGGTGCACATCGCCGGCGCGTACCTCCTCAAGTGAGTCGGCTGCCTCGGCATCCCGTCCCGCGCTGCGGATGGGGCCGAGCAGGTCTTCTTGTCAGCGCGAGTCACCTGGGAAGCCTCGGCGGGGCGGGGGGCTTAAAGGGGGTAAAGGCGAGTGTTTAAAAAGCCGATGGTATCGCAGGTGACCTCCCGTCTGCAGGCCGTTAGTCAGCTTTCGCAGAGCCACAGAGCTGATTTGGGAGGAGTTCGGTGGTGTTAGGCGAGTGCACGGGTGGTCTCTGTTAACCAGGGACCCAAAACGCAGAGTGACGGGTGCATCTCCCCTGGGTGTGGGAAGCACCCTGGGGTGCTCTGCCAGCACGGCACGGGCAGGCAAGCTCATATCCTTCCTCCGCGCGTGTGCACGGAGCAGCATTGCCAGCAGTTAGGGTTTTGCGTTGGATCCATCCCACCCCCATCTGCTACTGGTTTGGGCCGCTTTGCTGTTTTGGGGGGAGGGATTTCCCCCGTTGGCAATCCTCCTACCCGCTCTGCCGCAGAAAGGCCTGGCTTTGGGCTGACGCTGCAGCTCAGGGGTGGCAGGGGAGACGCTCTAGCTGGATATGAAGGACTGAGCTCACCCAGCCCAGTGATGGTTTTTTTTTTTTCTTTCTTTTCCCTCCTAGCTTAACCCGCTTGGGGCTGATCCTCTTGCTGTTGCAGTACTTAGCCGAATTCTTCTTCCACATGGCCCGGCTGGTCTACTTCACAGATGAGAACAACGAGAAGCTGTAAGCAGGCGAGCTGGCCACAGCTTCCCGCCTCCGGTGCCCAGGAGAGCCGTCGGAGTGACGGGGGAGGCTCGCTCTCACCTTCCAGCTCGGTGCTAGAGGCTGCTCCTGCCGACACCTCTGCTTGCCCTCCTGCAGGTTTAACGTCTGGGCTGTCGTGTTCGTGGTCACCAGGCTCTTCACCCTCACCTTGTACATCCTGGTCATCGGCTTCGGGCTGCCACGGGTGGAAAACCAGGCCCTCGACCCCGAGAGAGGGAACTTCTTCAGCTTTCTCTTCAATAATATCCTCTTCAGGTAGGAATATCCCCTACTGTATCTACCGCCTTTTCTTTTTTAATGCATCCTTTCACATGAAGACTGAATTGTGGAAACCTCTCCCATACGTTCCCTGGTCATGTTATCCCAGGGTGGTTTTTGCTGAGTTTGGAAATGCCACTGGGGATCCGATCTAGATTCCCTTTAGGGAAGGCCCAAGTGAGCTGGGAGGGTGTGGAGGGAGTGAGGAGCGGTTAAGGGCCTCAGCGCCACGACAGAGGGGAAAAGCCAGCAAATAAGTTGTTCATTGAGTGAAGTTATAAAGCACGTGCCTGTCTTAGAGAAAGGCTTGCAGTCTTTCCCTTCTGCACCCGTGACTGCACTTACAGGGTCGATGAAAAGGTGCTTTCCCTTCTGCTTGGACGTGTTTTGCTGCCTGTTGACATGAGAAGCAGGAGATGGGATGAGTTCCCCGTGCCTTGCCATGCATCCATCAATACCGGGAGCCTTTCTCACCCGTACAGCAGCTGTACGTTCAGTTCAGAAGTTGCTAGGACAGGTGCCTGGTCGTGCCCAAGTTTTTTGAAGCCATGGACTGCTGGCATGTCTGAGGATCTGGGGGACTTTCTTAGCTCCCTTCTAACCACATCTGCTTTTCAGTTGTCCAGAGCAGCTGGAGACGGCTTACCTTGACCGTGCAGACTGTGGTTTGGGCAGTGCTGGTTGAGATGATCCTCTTCATCCATTCCTGCCCTAGACTCAGCAATGCCCTGAGCATCTGAGAGCTTCGTAGTGAGGAGGGAAAGGGAAGTGGCTTCTTTGAACTCTGGAGATGGCAGAAAGTAGAGATGGTGGCTGGAGGGACAGCGTCTGCCTCAGGGTCTGCAGGGGACCTCGGCCACCGGCCCCGGTGTGGGTGGAAGGCTGGGCTGCTGGTGGCCTCGCTCCTCTGTTCTCAGCCTGCCTCTTCTCCGCCCCTACCAGAATGAGTGCGCTGCTGTTGGTGTGCCTCTTCCAGGCCTCGGTGATGTGGCGCTTCATCCACTTCCAGCTGCGGCGCTGGCGGGGGTGCGGGGACGAGTTTAGCAGAGCAGTCGGAAGCGAGCCGCCGCCGCCGCCGCCGGCACCAAGCAGCAAGCCAAGCCGCTCAAGAGGGACTCGGGTGAGTCGGGACTGGTGTGCTGTGGGAGACATCAGTCCTGTGGTTCAGCATCCCCTCGGCAAGCTGCTGCCGCCTCTGCAGGCGACGCTGCCACGGTGCTGAGCCCAGGGGGTCCCCAGCAGGGTCGTGCCACGGTGGGGGCTTTCCCCACGTCTGTGGGCCGGCCCCAAGGGGATGAAGATTTTGGCCTGTGCAAGGGACAGAGTTTTCTCTCTCCGTCCCCAGGTTACCATGAAAACGGAGTGGTGAAAGCGGAGAACGGCACCTCACCGCGAACCAAGAAACTAAAATCACCGTAGAAGCAAAGGCTTGTCTCCTGGGGAGGAGGGCGAGATACCGGGACTAAGCAGCAGCCCCTCCCGGTCCTCACGAGCATCATCTTGAACGGCTTGGAAACCGGTCATCTTCCCAAGGTGTCTCTCGCTCTCCTCCCTTCCTGTCTTGCTCTCTTGAACCATTTGCAATAAAACCAAAAAGGTCCCTTTCCCCTACTCCCCTCCCCTTGTAGGAACCTTTTCCAACCCTCCAGGTTTTGCCTTCCTCTGTTTCATCGTAAATCAGCGTGCAATTTTTTTCTTTTCTATTTTAGTGTTTGGTTATTTTGGGATTATTGTTACAAATGCATTGTAGGTGGTTCCAAACAATCCTTTTTTGCTTCTACAGCATGTTCCTCCCCTCTCTTCATGGTGCTTCCCTGAGCCCCTGGAACAGAGCCACGGCAGCTTGAAGGCACCACATGTCTGTGATGGGAACAGGCTCCTGGGGGAATGCGCTGGGGCTCTGTGACCCTGAGGCTCAGGGGTGCTCTCGGGTGAGGGTTGCCATTCCTGGGGCAAGTCTGGCCAGCTCTTGGCAAGTGCCACAGGATGGTGATGCTGCAAACGGAGACCAGGGTCCGAGGGAGGAACCTCAACCGTGTCTTCTCTTGTGGTGGACCTCCGATTAAGTTGGGGTTTTGTTGACCCCTGGTTTTGAGCTCATTTTGGAGAGCTGGGCAGCAGAGAAGGGAGAGAATTTCCCTCTTCATATGGAAGGTTCACCTCCTAGTCTTTGCTTGCCCCAGTTCTTCTGGTACAGCTGGGTCCCTCTTACCCTCTTGACTGCAGGAGGTGAGCTGCCCTTTAGTTGTTCTGGACCTCCCAGCCCCAAGAGCTGGGCTCGGGGCTCTGCAGCTCGCAGCGCCTTGTCGTGGGGCAGCAGCATCCTCAGGTCCGCATGAAACCTTGAGTCCTGCCCCGCTGCGAGCACTGGCCTGGTTCCTGTCAGCCCAGGCCCTTTGTCAGCTTTCGTGTGCCTCGTGGACCTGGTGTTCTTGTGGCTTGTGACCACGTCCAGGTGATGAACTGGCTGCTGCAAAGGTTTTCTGCATCAGTGGGACTGTCCCCCTCGTGCTGTCACCTTAGCCTTCCTCATCCCTACCGTACCAGTCCAGCCATGCCATTGGCAGCCACCAGCTTCACTCTTTATTTCCAAAGGATACAGAGCTTGTATCCACCCAAGGTGCTATCAAATGCAGGGTTTCTTCCAAAAAACCTAGCCCCTTCATCCCTTTCTGAGCTGTGAATGAGATGACAGGGAAGGGGAAGGAAGCTGGGGCTGCAAGGAGCAGCTTGCATTTTAGGAAAAGCCCGACTTGTGACGCATAGCTGTTGGCAGATGGAGTTGTCTCAAATCTACCTCAGAGGCCATCTGTTGCTGCAGACCACTTTTTCCCTCTTGCTCCTGCCCGCTGCCACCTGTACGTGCTGGCAGGAGCTTTCATGGGAACCCCAGATCCCACCGGCTCAGTCCCTTGCTGCCTCTTTGCTGGGGAGCAGCATCTCCTGCCCGGGGTTTTGTGGGTGAGTGTCATCTCAGTGAGCTTCTTTGGGGTGCCATGCACCAGTCTAGATGTGGTAGGCGTGCAGTAGACGGGCACCTCTCACCCCACAGCTCTCCGGGGCGGTTTCTGTAGCTGGACTTTGCTGTTGGTGCCTCTTGTGCAGCGAAGCCGGCTGTAGCTTTCGTTCTTTGCCGCGGCAGGAGCCGACGAGCGGCACGCACCCTTGGCTGGGCGAGAAGAGGGGACACAGGGTTGCGGGGAGCTGGGGTGCTCTTGATGTTCAAGCCAGGATCGAGGTCCACCTTCCTTGCGGGTGAGGGAGGCGCGTGGTCCTTAGCGTGCCCTTTGCTCAACCCTTCGGGTAGCTGAACTCTGGCTCTCTCCAAGTGCCGTTCTAGCGTGAGGCTGGCGCAGTCATCCATCGCATCATTTGTGTTTTGGGGAACGGGTGACACTTGATTTTTATGCCCCTCTCTGAGTCGGGTCGGGTTTTTTTCCTCCTCCTGTGTCTTTTCTCCCTTCCTCCCCCTTTTCTTGTTGAGCCCCAGCTAACGCTGGGCACCGGAGGGAGAAAATGCGCAGGGACGCGAGGACAGTTGGTCAAATTCCACTTGTTCCCCCGTTCCCACGACCTCTGAGTGTCAGATGAGAGATATCAGTGGGAGAGGGATGCTCCTTTTTTCAGGGGAACTGAGGAAGGAGACTTTGGAGCAGAGCCCTTGGTGGTACCTTGCAGTTGCTCCCTGTTGCCCTTGCCGGGTAGATAACAAACGTTTTTGGCTCAGAGGCATCGGCAGTACCCGAAATGCAACGTGATAGGGACAGTGGGAAGAGCTTTATGTTAGGGAGGGTGTGGAAAAGGTCTGGTGTGAGGGGTTTTTTCCTTTCTCCTGCCTTTTCCCATCCCCAGCCATCCGCTGCCACGTGCCCTCCGAGAGCGACTGCTGGCCGGCATCTCTCCGGAGCCTCAGCCGGTCCTTTCTGCCAAGCCGGTGCCTCGCAGCACCTGAGGTATTGACTCTGTTCACAGGTGACATATACGGTCCCCCAAAACTGGCTGCTGAATGATTCCTCCTCCTGCCTGCTTCGCCTCGGGCAGCTTTTCCACTTGCACAATCCTGCGTCTTCGTAACGTAGCTGATGATGCTTTGTATCCCAAGTGCCTTATGTTGCCGTGTAGTCTCTCGTACGCTTGATCTGTGTACTATATCAGTAGCTGAACGCCCTCCCTCTTTACGACATATGTACAACATATGCTACATTTATGTGGTTTTTTTGTTTTCTTTTTGATAGAGCTACCAGTAAAAGGGACAGTTTGTTTTGGAAGCGCTTCCATGTGTTAATTTTTTTTTTTTTTAAACCTATAGATGATGGGGCTTTTTTTGCCCTCCCTTATATTTAGTCCACAGAAATCCCCATCCTTCTGTTATACCCAAACGTGGCAGGACCCCTGGGTGGCTTTTTGGGTTTTGGTTGTTGGTTTGTTGGGTTTTTGGGGGTTTTTTTTGAGCTGAGCCTTTGCTGCAAGGCAGTATGCGCTGTCATCCCAGAGGTCTGCAATCCACCCTCCGTTGGAGGGGCTGCCACAGGCCGCTTCTGTCTCTGTCTTCTAGCGCGAGCACCATCCCTCGGCTGCAAGCCCGCAGTAACTGCTTCTATGTCCGTGTCGTTTCCCAGCAGACCGAGCTGTCTTTTCAGCCCAAAGAGCTTTTTCTTTCTCAAACGGAGTATTTTCATTGCAAGCCCTTAGTGGTCAGTCTTTCCTCGACCGCTCTGTGTACAAAGATGCCGTGAGTCCACTTGCTTTGAGTGGATGCTCTTCTGGTGCCCCATCTTGTCAAGCCCTGTGTCTTCTGCAAAAAAGACCCAACCCCAAACAGGAGCTTTTGTCTACCACAGTGCAGAAAGTGTCAGAGATGATGCAAACCTGCAAGTCTTTACTTCCAGTGTAACGTTATTACTCGCACCCTTCCCATGGGCTTGAGACTGCTTTTGTAATCTGTGTCCGTTATCCAACCTAAGGTGGTCAGGGATGGAGTAGTCTGTGATTTTTGGTGTGAAGCATGGTGTTTTCCTGCCCTAGGCTAGACCAGCTGTGAAATACCAGCAGTAGTGCTCTCTTTTTTTGTCTTAGATAGTTGGGGAATGGGCTTGGGAAGAGAAGGGGGCAGAGGAAGAACAGATGTAGCATTTCACGTGTAATTTTTGAGTGACTCATGTTACGGGGCATTACGGTTGCGTTATTTTTTTGTTGTTTAGGATTCATAGAACCGTATCATATCATTTCTTCTTACTCATCACGTTTGGGTTAGTAGTAAAGAAGACAAGTTCCGCTTCCCCTGTAGGTCCCCTTACCCTCACCTTGCCATTTGAAAATGTATTTTTGGTAGGCTTCCTGGTTGGAGGGAAGAAGGACTGCTCTGGGATGCCTCCCCCTTGCCTCCAAGCGACTCCTGAAGCCTGCAGATACCCTGCCTTTACCGCAGTGCAGGGGGGTTTACAGCAGCCTCTGTCTCTTCCCTTAGACAAAATCTTGGTAGATGGACCCCCACTTGTCTCAGCAGTAGATAGAGATGATGGGGTTGGATTTCCAGCCTTCTGGTAGACTTTACGTGATTGTGATAGATGGTTTGGCAGGCTTTATACTCAAACTGTGAAGTCTGTTACTTTGCCTCAGGGCTGTGTGTGGGGTTCTGCTGGCAGCGGGGAAGAGTGGCTGTTGTAAAAGTCAGGCAGAGGCACGTAGTTTTTCTTTGAATATGTTGAACTCGATGGACCAAACTTCAGCAACGGAACTCGAGGAAAATTTCTGTTCTTCCGTATTTATGCTTTAGTGCAAATTTCCTAATTTTGGAGGGGGTGGAGGGAAGGAACAGTCTCTGAAATTTTTCATTCTTCCTGTCACTTAAATTTTTGTATGAATTTTGTTTGTTGTTGTTTGTTGTTAAATGACTTTTGTGACACACTCAACAAGAGTATTTTTCTGAAATAAATAAATAAAAGGCATAGATTCTTCCATTGCTGCTGTCCGCTGATGCTTTATCGCTCTGCTAAGCTGTATGTGCTTCCGCAGCGGGCTGCGATGGGTTGTGCTTGTCTCTCTCCTGCCATAGTCTGTTCCCTTGGGTGCAGCATCTCATGTCCTTGTATACCCCACAGTTGGGCTTCATCTTCTCGCATTTCCCACGTCTACAGCATGGGCAGCTGCTTCTGAGTTAGTTACCCGTGGCTGCCTTCATCCTTGGGAGTGGAGGATAAGGGCATTTGTAGGATATGATTTGTCTGATGTGGTTTAGGTGCATACTTTATGGTGAGCTAAACTGTATACTTTCTGCCGCTGGCCGCAGGGCATGCTACATGATTTGGCTGAGTATTAGGTTACAGTTTTATAGCATGTGCAGGAAACAAGTTTTGGACTTTCTTTTCTACAGCCTAAAGTTCCAGTAATTTCATCTGTAAGTCCTTGGTCTCTGGAAAAGCTGATTAAGGTGGCCTTTAGAAGTTAGCTTTTGTCAGCTGCTGCTTGGAGGGCACCTCACACGATGCCGAGCCGTGCCTGGAAATCCGAGGTGGACCAGAGACAGCTGTAGTGATTCTTGGTTGGAGCAAGCAGCAGCACAAAACGGGCCCAGAAGAGGAGTGACCTTTCCAAACAAGAGGAGGCAGGAGCGACCTGTCATGTGGAGAAGTGGGAATCCACAGCACAAAAGCTGATTTAAATAAGCGTTTTGTTCCAAGGAGCTCTGTTCTCTACTGTGTGTGTGATAGCTGCCTTGCATGTGTGCTCAATGGCAATACCTGGCAGGTGTCATTTGGGGTGAGAAGGTCCCTGCCACGTTCACCTTCGTGGAGAGATGAGCAATGTGCGGAGCACAAGCGTCACAACTCTACTGCTATGCCAACTGCTAGTTTTCCCTTTTCATTGGACCTGTCTGGTAAGATGACAGGTTGCGTAAGAAGGGTTTAGATAGTATCTCAGTCCCAAAACTGTTCTCCCAACCTTTTGTTAAAAAATGCAAAGCTACTGTCAGCAGATTTGTGTACAGACCCCTGATATCTCCATAGCTATGTGAGACCTAAACTCACCACTCCATTTCAAGTAAAGAAAAATCCTTCCCTGTGAGGGTGCTGAGGCCCTGGCACAGGGTACCCAGAGAAGCTGTGGCTGCCCCTGGCTCCCTGGCAGTGTTCAAGGCCAGGTTGGATGGGGCTTTGGGCAACCTGGGCTAGTGGAGGGTGTCCCTGCCCATGGCAGGGGGTGGGACTGGATGGGCTGTGAGGTCCCTTCCAACCCAAACCAGTCTGTGATTCTATTCTATGATTCTAAATCCAGAACCACAGTTTTGTGGGGGCTTTCCCCCCTCACTTCTTTAATCCTTAGATATTCCAGACATGAGGTAATTTTATTTAAAACAGATTTATTAGCACTTTTATAGTAGCCATGCATGATTTGCGTACATTCAGACTAGCAAGCATGAGTTTATTGTGATCCACGGCAGGGCTCTTATCATCGGCATTGCAAGAAGATCTAACATTTAAACTGGCAGCCTTCACTGCTTGAAGGTGAAAGGCCCCTTTCGATGCTATGAGAGAAATCTAGAGTGGTTATCACTCCAGGCTTTAGACAGCTTTAGCTCTAGCAAGCCTTGGTGTACTGTATTAAAAAGTTGAGAGAGCAACAGGAGAATCTGGCTTTGGTTCTCCAAAGTTGTTTCTCATCTGAGTGTCATTTCAATACCCAGCAGTTGCGAGGTTGAGTTTGGTGGTAGCTAAAAGGGCACGGAGAGGTTTGGAAGCAAAAAAAGTTAACAAAGTGAGGGTGAAGTTAGCTGGCTCTAGTAAGGATGGAAGGGGGAGAGCGAGTGAAGCAAAGGTGAAAACTAGAGAATCCTTTTTGAAGTACAATGTCTTAAAGTCAAGTCAGCTAAGAATTTTATTGCTGGTTTTGTGCTTCAGCTTCTGGGCAAAAATCATGAGGGGAAGGCTCTAAGGAAGTCACGGTAGTTTATCTTGTCTTCTCCACAAGAACATAGGTCAATAAGCTGGGGGAAAAAAGAAACAGCAATCAACATAAAGAGTTGGAAGAAGGTGCAAATTTCTTTTTTTAGGAGAAAGTGCCCAGAGGTGCTCCTTGTGTGACAGAGCAGAAGATCTTATTCCCCTGTGTGGAAGAGTCTACCACCTTAGTAGTCCTGAATCACAGGTAACCTTGAATGCTTATAGATGACACTAATCTATGCAAGGAGAAGAGTTAAAGTGTTTGAGTTCAATCCTGAATGCCTTCTAAGTATCACCACAGTGGCAATAGATCCACAAAAAATAAAGTGTGACCACAAACTGACATAGGCCACAGCAAATCTTTCAGAAACCCCATAGAAATCCCTGCCAAAAGTGGGATGGGGGCAGCATATCCGAACAGCTACTTTTCACTGGCATCGCTTTAGTGTGTGCACATGGCGTAAAGGGGAGATGCAAATAATTGAGCTCAGCTACAGCCCTACTAATGAGCCAGTTCTGGTATCCGTGCCTGACCCTGCATTGTGTTACAGAGCTATAGCCTTTGTGTGCTTAAGGGGAAGAAAGAGGGCTTTTGTTTCTTTAATTGCATAACTAATCTCTTTCTGACACCCAGGGAGATGGAAAAAGGTCTAATATCACAGTTCCTTGAAAGGATTCTTCTTCCCCTTGTCTCCTGGAGACAGATTTACTAGGGTTGCTCTTGTGTGACTGACAGCTGTGCTTGTCTCCAATCCAGACAGTAGTTAACTATCTGCCACATGTTTAATTTATGGCACTGCCACACTTCTGAGGGCTCTGGGCACACTCTTATTAAGATTTCAAGAGAGAAGAGGGATGCTTTTAGCGTACAGGTCCTAGGTGAGGCTTCAAACATGGGGGTTTAGCCTCAATTGTCACAGGTTCTCCACGTGCTCTTGGGCATGTCACGTCATCTCCCATTCTCCGAATGGAAGCAGGAAGGACTGTCACCACATTGTACGTTCCTCAGGGCAGAGCGGTCTCTGATGAACCCTGGGTGCTGGTCAGAGGCACAGTGCACATCCAGAGACCTAAATACCCTGCCTGGCACCTTTCTAACCACGGCTGTGATGCTCATGTTTGGCTGGTTTAGAAAACGTTGGGGATTTTTAGCAAGGGAAATACTCCCTCTGATTTCTAGATTTCTTTAAACTCTGAGTCTGCCTTTATTGGCCACTAATCTACTGCTTACCACATCATGCTAAGAAACCATCCTTGCCAGTCATACTCCTGAAAGGATCCTCCATCCCTGCTGCATGAATTTTTCTCTCCAGCTTCCCTCATGCAGACTGTGATCTCCACATGCTGTTGCTCATAGTGCCCAGCAAGCCTATGTTTCAATTGTGTTAACCAAGTGGTTATGATTCCTTTTTTTTTTTTTTTTTTTGGTACAATACTTAGTTCTCAAAACTTCAATTCCATTGCTGTTAAATCCAGAATGTATCTAAGCTTTCCTAAGGCTCGTTCCCTAAGCACCTCAGTGTCACCTCTGCTCAAGCCCAGGTGACCTTAAGTCATGACAGACACTCAGTGGCTCTGTGGCAGCCTATGCCTGATCTCTATCATGATATATAACCTCTTCTGCTCATCCCTGAGACAAAACTGTGCAGCCGAACACTAGACTGGTCATTTGGGGGGCAACCTAGGTAACATCTCTTCCCTTTACTTAGAGGACAGCAATTGTTCTCTTGTAAGACAGGGTCAGTCCAACAGCTCAGTGGCCCTTCTGAATTGAGACTGTCTCGTGTTTTTCTTGAAGTTGTTCCCCTTTGTAGGGTAAAGCAGCTTTTGGTCTCACCAGGCTAAGGTTGGTTTGTAGAAGAGCTATAGGAGGGGAACTCAATATGCACAGCACTCCTTCCTTCTGACCTTGTTAAGAAGAATGGCATCGGTCGGCACACTCAAGCTGTTGCAAAGAGCTAAAAATTTTGCTTGGTCCAGGATGCCAGAGCCATCCTTGTCGCACTGAAGAAACGCCTCCCTAATGTTCTTGTTGTTTAAGTACTTATGGAGCTTCATCTCTTCCTGAACCTGCACAATTAATTCATCCAGTTCCTGTTTGTGGGTCCCAAGCATGGGGATGTCACTGTAGAAGAAAGGAAGAACAGGACTTCATGTAAAAGCTACTTCTGGCAGCCTTACCATGACACTCGTGTGCTGGCTGCCCACCATGGCTGGCCAGACTGTATTTCTGAATACAGAGCAGGCTCCTGGGGTGCTTGGTTTTTATGGCAAGCTCATCTCAACTTGGACTTGGAGATGAAGCTCAGTCTTGATCTTGGAGCATTAGGTAAACTGTTTTCGCTTTGCAGGACATTTCCCCCATGCACCTTCTGTCTGCAAGTGCTCTGCAACAAGGAACATTTCCTCGTGTGCTTCACACAGTCCCAGGAACTGTATGCAACTCTAGTTTCAACCAGAGCCCCTCAACTACCATGATACTGACTGACTCCAAAGTGTGTTGTGAGGTAATAGGGTTGTTACTGGGTGACCCAAACTGGGTCCAAGCAGCTAAAAAAGAGGATGTGGTCTAGGCTTTGATGGGCTGATAAGCGCAGCCAGAGCAAATGGAAGAAAAAAAAAAAAAAAAAAAAGACTTCACCAACCCTCTTGCTGAGCCTGCAACTATCTAGTAGCCCATGCAGATACTGTTAGCAGCATCTGCTACAGTTAACTACTGTCTTTTGGGATAAGATGACTGTGTGCTTTTAGCTGCAGGTATCTCTGCTGCTGAGCCAGAGCTGTCCAGCAAGGTTTTCGGGTCAGCAGCAGCCACAACATTATATTGTACACGCTTGACCCCCTCCATACGTGTCCAGATACAGGCTCTTGGAGCTGAATAATCAGCCGAGCAGCCATTAGACAGCAAGCTGGAGCCCATGGAGGCCACTGGAAATCCCCTTCGTTGTCAACCCTGAGTCTCATTTAGCTCCACAACACCACCCTTTGAAGCCTACCTGTTGGCAGTCTCCTTTACCACCTGCCGTGGGCGAAAATGATCCCTCAGGGACTGCAGTGTTGCTGCAGGGAAACTCTCTGCATTGCTCTCCATATAATTAAGCACATATTCATCGGCGTCAGTGATAACAAACCTGTGGCCAAACACTGGGTAAGAGGCATTAAAGAAAGCAGTGTTACTCGCCTTTCAGCATGGGTAAGTCACTTCATCATCCAGGAGAGAGCATGGTTACTTGCCTTTCAGCATGGGCTCAGATTTGAGCGAGCTCTGCTATTTGTTTCAGTCTTTGAAGTGAGAATAGTTTCACTGACTCAAAGGGAGTTTTGCTGCATGAAAAGCAGCTGCTGAGAGCAAAGGCCCCATGCTTGTTCCTACAACGACTCCCCCCCATTAGCACTGGCATGTTTCTAATATTTCAGTATTACATTTATTTTCCTTACAGGATAGATTTTTCTTACAGGATAGGCCTTTGCTACTGGAAGTCATCTAGCATAGCTTTAACCCTGTGAATTCTGGCAGGTCCCAAAATGTAAACTGAACACGTACTACGGAGAACATATAGCTCTTTTCCTAATTATGTCAAAGGTTCAAACACTGATAGTAACAGAGTTATATTAACGTATACCAGCTGGTGACAGGGAAACTCAAATGTGATGAAACCCAGAAGGAACGGATCTTTCAAGTAAAGGAAGGTATATGCACTGTCCGTGCAATAAATGACGTATCAGAGCAGGCACTGAAGACAAATGCTCAAAGACCATTATCAATCCAGGCTGGATTTTACCTTCAATTGTAGAACCGATGGTGAGGTCAGAGGGCTCATAGTACATGGCATTCTCTGTAGTAGAGCCTGGTTTGGCGACTCTGGTCTTTCCTAAGTATTTGCCTCCAATGATGCCAGAGTTACGGACTGGGGGTTCATAGATGCTGATCATGTCATTAGAGAGGAAATAAGAGAGGATGAAGCGACGCTTTCTGTCCTCGGGATTTGGTGATTCCTAGAGGAAAGGTAGTGGCTTTGGAAAAGAACATTTCAACCAGGTTTTTCTTACCTGGGGTGCTTAGGAGCACCTAGTAACCCACTCATAAGCACCCAGAGTTCATAGCTTTTTTTTTTTTTTTTATAGCTGACTAAACAAAGCACTCGATGTAGGTCAAAAGCTACAAATATGCTGACAACATAACAAAGCCCCAGACAGCATTAAGTATCTGAATTTCAAAGGTTACTTGCTCTAGTCAGGCTAACAGAAGCAGAATCTGGGCTGCAATGACCAAGTATATTCAGTGTTTCCACAGACTGAGTAATCCAAGAGAAAGGAATATCCTACATGGAATGATTCATCACAGAGAGAGACTAGCTGTAAAAATCAGTATTAAAGTTATATTTTTCATTATAATGAGTGCCTGAGAGAGGTTGGTGCTGCTTCCAGCTCTTAGTCACAGGAAAACACTCCCCTGACACACCAGTGGGTTTACTTGCTTAGTTTAAAATTAAGTGGATCTGACCTCATCAGCTGTGACCTTTAGGAGCTCCTGCACAATAGGGAAAAGAAATCAGCCCTTAGTGTTTGGAGAGGGCAGGCACCAGGCAGCACAGGAAATGCCATTGCTACTGCTGGACGTGCCAGAGGCTCCTTGCATAAACCAACTGTAAAGCTGGCACAAAGGCCAGGGCCTGAATGCTGTTGCCGTGGGTGGAAAGCACCGTCCCCGTGGGCTGCCCGGGTTCTGCGCTGGCACTTGGCTGCTCTGCTAGCACGGCCCCTTGCTGGCTGCTGTGGCCAGGACTAACCTGGAGAAGGACAGGTGCCGGGAGCCAGCAGCAGAGACACAGCAAGCTCGTGCTTGTGGCAGCAGTTGAAGGCAGGCAGAGGCACAGTGCCCAGTCGCAATGCTGTTTCAGTTAGGGCCATCTGTCACGTGCTGATGTCAGTGGGAGTTATTCCATAAATGGCTGTGGTTTTGTAGCATGTCTGTTTTGTACACTCTGGCCTTGTTTTTTGCTACCTTTGCATGCTACTAATTGTCACAGCAAGTACACAATAACCCAACGGCATCCCCTGAGGGACACTCGCATTGGCTTGGGGAACTCTCTTTTCTCACCAGCACAGAGGAGAGTTTGCTAACAGCCTTGCCTGAGCAGGCTGCTCCTCTCATCCTTCTGACTCTACAACATAAGCTGGCACTATACCATCAAGGACTTGACTTACCAGGGCCACCTGGTATCGCAGCACCTTGTGGTTATTCTCTAGCATTTTAATTATATCTTTCCGTGGAGGTTTTGGAAGCAGAGAAAAGCAGTTCTGAAGAGAGTCTTCGAGGATTCCAAAACCATTATAGGGAGGAATTACCTGCATCCAGAGGAGATATCAACAGCTGAAACTAACAGCAAGACAAAGTTTGCAAGACAGCTTAGCAGAAACCATCTGTTTGGAAAGAAATCTTCTGTCACCAGGTAGCAATAGCTGTGACATCCTGCCCAGTAGAGATGCTACTAGCCCGGTCATGTGTTGGATCCCTTAATTACAGAACTATTTAAAACAATTAAGAAAATCTGAAAGTCAGAAAGCCAGATAATTTCTCTGAATGAAGAGCCTATGTCTATACTAATAACTAAACCTTCCTGTGCACAGGAACTCAATCCCCTATATGGTTACACTGTTAACCTAATCCCGATCATGTTCGTGGTCCAGGCCAGCTAGCACTCCAAACCGTTCCTAGGCTTGGTTTGGGAGGTAGCAAGGGCTGTGACCGTCCCCATTAGGCAGTTTGGACTTAGCCACCCTGATTTGGAGGGTGAAGGAGAGTTCAGTAGTATGAGTGCAGCATGCCACTTGGCTTCCCAGACAAAACCAAATCCTGATGCTGTTTAATTTTCTAGTATAGATATAACCAGAGTTCCTTCTATCACTATTAGCAAGTACTTTGTCATCTACAGTATTAGAAATCAACAGTTTCAGAGGACTTTCATTTTTATATCGATTATGACCATTCTTGCCTTGTCTTTTTCAAGTTACTTGCTCTTTTCTTTAAGCTGAACTTGTTTACTACAGGCTCATACTAAGCCGAACCTACACTTTACTGTAAGAGCTTATACCGACTGCTTCCTTCCCTCCCTTCGAGAAATTGTACGCAGTACCTGTGGAACTTTCTCAAGTGGTTTCTTATCTATTATTTCCACTGGCTGGAAGTCTGTGATGCCAAATTTGTCACGATAAAAGTTTCGCGTGAACTCATCACAATCGTAGATGAAGAAGGTGCGTCCAAGGAGGGTGGTAGATTTGCCGACAGCAAAATCTTTAGCTGTGTACCACTCAAGTACCTCCTGATCAGAGATCTCCAGCACACAGCTTGGAAAGGTCTCTAAGGACGAGGGAGCAAAAGGAAAAATAAATCAATTAACAAAGATGTTAACATTTCCTAGTGAAAAGGGATACAAAAGCAAGCTGTAAAAATAGCTCTGGAAAGCTGTTGGTACTGCCACCGTGCTACTGTTTCCCAAAAGATAAAGAATTTAGTCATCATTTAAAGAATTTTTCTTTGGCCAAAAACTGATGACACTTGGTGTGTTCTCAGCAAAAATTCTCCAGACTCAGTGTACCTCTGACACAGCCACCACATACATGTCTACCCACCAAGGCACTTTAGACAGATGTGCTGGCCAGTCTAAACTTACTTTTCTTGTCCACAAAGGTTTTGGGCAAGCGTTGGCGTTTTATCAGTATTGGGAACGGGTCTCTACCATCATTTTGCTTGTAGACTTCCCGAACCTCCACTGTGTCATCTGCCAAGTAGTAATGGATGATGTAAGGCCGATTCTCACCAAACATACTGTTAGTGTCATCCCATGTGGCGTAGAAGCGAAGGACCTGGGGTGGAGAAAAAAAAAGGCAGAGAATACAGACAAGGATTAGAATTACTAATACTTTATCCAAATGAAGTGAGCTGAAATGGGTTGGGTGATTGGAGGCATCTCAGCAATCTTTGCCAGGTACAGAAGAAGCAAGCCCTTGTACTGCGGGTACTGGAATGAATGGGCTGCTGTGGCAGCAGTGGGAAGGACGGCAGGGGCCTGGAGAGCTGGCTTACCCTGACAGCAGCAAGTGAGAGAGAACAGTTTATGCTAAGACAAGAAATTTAGTTCAGGTTGCAGGAGGAAAAATGGGGGGAATTGGTTAAAAAGCAGCAGAAAATAATTGCCCAGGAATGAGTAGAGAAGTAGGCTTAAGGGAAGTGATTTTTATAATGAAACGTAATACAGAAGACAGAATCTTGTTTTGACTCTTAAACCTCTTAGAGGTTTCATGGCCAATTCTTTACTACTCTCATGCTGAGGAAGGCAGAGGGGAATGCACTCAGCAGCCCTGAGGAGGCTGCACTCACTGCAGAACCCATTTTGTTTCTGCCTAGTGGAAATATCATCTTTTAAGGCCAAGAAATCAAACTCCTCACACTGCAGTGCTCAAGAATTCCCCAAGGTACAGCTCCTAAACAGCCAGCCCAAGAGCCATTGCAGGCAGGGTTGGCCCAGCACAGACTTGAATCGCTTAGGCTAAACTGGCAGTAAAATGGCAGCTATGGCCAAAAGAAACCCTGTCTGCTCCCCCCAAAACAGGGTGACCACATCCAAAATGGCAACTGGATATGATCCTGGCCTGTGCTAACTAACACCTAGCTGGTGGCCAGGAACTGTTTGATTGATAGCTGGCCAGGGACAATATGAACTCAGGTCATGTCCTGGTCCTGTTTTATTTTCTAGTATAGATGTAGTCTATAGGGTTTCTCGCATTGTTTCTAGATGAAAAGAAGAAGATCCAGAGGAGCAGAGAGGAGAGTGTTAGTCATCTGTGTGCAGAGGGAGAATTCAGTCAGAGCAAGTGGCACTTGTGTCTATCTGAAATTATCCACTCTGGTACCTGGCATCAACATTTTGGGGGAAGACAGGAGTGCATACAACATATCCATTCATATTACAACTGCATCTGCCCCTCTCTGCTAACTTCCCGAGGCAAGTAGCTTATCTCATCCCAACAGAAAGCAAGAGAGAGATGGAGGATCTAGAGCATAGTTTCTGCAATCCAGAGAAGCTGCTCACAAGACACAAAGCCCAGCAAAAAAGATGAAAGACTTTGTTTTTTACTAAAGCCAAAGAGCAAATCTGGAGTCTGTTCATTGGACTGAGATTTTTTTAGAATGAGTAAGGTTGTAGACACTCACAAGACTCGAGTTTCCATAACATATAGTCTGTAATGTGGGTAGTCACTACCAGCTCTCTCACCTGCTTGTCGTAAGTCAGAAACTGTTTGAGTTGGTCGAAATCTGATGGTGTGATATACTTTCGCATAGGCATCCGACGCAGTTCTGTGTAAGGATCAAAAACCATTTTCTCTGGAGGGTTCAGTTCAATTCCTTGGCTCTCCAGGAACACCTAGGAAGGTCGTCTGAGGTATTAATGCTGGCGTGAGTTCTGAAGGTAAGAGGTAACTAGAGATTACAGACGGGCTGAGTGTTGTCAGAACACTGCAAGTTCATTCCTCACAGACCACCAGGCTGCAGGAGTATTAGTTCTACTGCAATAGCAAATACCATAGAAGATGACCAAGGTGTTTCTGTTTAAGCTGCTGCTTAGCTTTGCTTGCCCTTTAATTACTCAGGGCAGTTCTGTCCTCAACATCCTAACTCAGATTTTACTTCAGCACAGCTTTCCTTGGCCTTAGGGCTTTAAATGGAGGATAACTGTCAATTGGTCTCTTTTATGCAAATGACAAAAATTAAATTAGTACATAACCGTGGATGTAGTCAGCTGGAATTTGCAAGAGACGTAGGACTCTCCAATATGTCAGACAGTGGAATTTAGTGTTACCCACACTAGGCCCACCGAGGCCCTTCAGGCCACAAGGATATGTGCCAGAGGGGTAGCTTTGGTCCACCTTTCAGGAGGAGTACTTTTGCCACAGAAAGAGGACAATCTGTTTGTTTATAAAGAGATTTTTTGCTTACCTTGGATGCATCAACAAACTCTATGGTATTACTTGTGTACTCACATCAGTCACCCAAAACAACCTCTGAAGTCAATGGACTTCTTCCCTTTTTGGCCTTGGGAAGTGGCCCCATGAAAACATTCATCCCAGGAAGCACCTATGCAAACATCTCCAACAGGCATGTGAGATCACCCTGAAGACTCACAAAGTAGGTTCACACTTTCAGATTTGCTGTTTTCTGGTCTGGAGGATGCCAGTTAATGATAAATAAACCACTGGCCTTGAGATGTAGACACACATAGCTCAGTTCAATCAATTCTGTGATTTCATGTTTTCTATCAACCAACCAACATTAACATGAGAACCAGCTCTTCATCTGATGTGAACTGAATTTAACAGTCATCCAGTTGCAGCAGAGCTGGGCCCACAACAGCCACATATATACCAATATATTACACATGCATGGGAACATTCCTGGGCACTGAGGCCAACTGGCAAGGAACAGCCTGCATCTCAACTCTCTCAGCCTCCAGGACAGGTTGGCTGCACGTAATTCACCTATTAGGAATGGTCCCTGGAGCATCCTAACTCCTGGACCACTCCTGGGACTTGCTTGGAACAATAGTAGTTGACCAGGGCTGAGATTATAGTGGGGACAATCTAACAGGATACCATTATACTGGTATTTGTTATTACTTGTCACTGGATTGTTATTATTTCATTTACTGGTACAGAAATACCCAGAAACAGAAAAGCAGGCAATGAGTAAGCTCTCTTAGAAAGGGCAGTTCATACCATGATTCTCAACCCACAGATCATGACCGCTCTTCTGGCTTGGCTGTAGATGGTGCAGAGTTTCTTACTGCATTCCCTTCCTCTATTCTTAACCGAGGAGTATTAAGTCGGAAAAGAGTAAGGATCAGTAATTTCCCTTTCATATATGCACAATGTTTCATCCAGACTCTAAGCAGTTAAACTGTTGTACACATAGAAATGAGCTTAGAACAATTCTGTTCACACAGACATAAGCTTAGAATTTGTACTGTAAGGAGTATTTCTGAGGACAAAGGATGGACTCCCAGCAGCCCTGAGGCAAAAATACTGAGCAATTAATGTGCCTTCAGCAAATACACCTTGAACTTCCCATTGATCTGAAGAAAGAATTCTCCACAAAAAAGCAAAACAAAAGATTGCAAACAACCTTATTGCAAAAGCTACAGATGCAGACTACCGGACTCTAACAGCTCTGGCCACTTGTAACTCCTGCGATTCTTTGTGTCGGTGTTCTCTGTTCAAGCAACACACCTGCGTGAATGGGTCACAGTCGACTATGCGGTACGTCCTCCCATACATGGTGATGTTCATGCCCCGATTCAGATCTTTCCAGTGGTAGTGATCCCCACGGTCATTCTTGGGCACCCGGTGGCGTCTAATAAGTCTGCCTTGAGGAAGACCGGAGTTCTGCACAACAGGCTCTATGACGCTCATGCTGTCATCTTCCAAATAGTAATAGATATCCACTTGGCGGATCCGGTAATGTTCTTCTGCGGAGAGAGGAGCATCTTCCTGGAAATAGGCATCAAACTTCAAAATCTGCCAAAGGGGCAATATCCCAACAGGAGAGAGAAAAAACCAATTTGAACACCATGATTAGTCTATTAAGACAAATAATTTATTATTTGTAATGTTTTTTGGCAGTGCAAAGTTACTGGTTTGAAACCTATAAAATCATCAAAGCCAACTGTACCCTAATCTGTAACTGATGGCAGAGGCATCATGAGGGCTTTTATCAAGACCTGCCTTATACAAATTTGTTACACATGAGACAGGTGTAAAAAATACAGCCTTTTCCCTACTCCTTCTTGATCGCCTACTATTTCACCTACTGCCGGGTGCTTGGTTACTGCCAGTAATCTAGTCTACCGACATACACGGCTTTCTTTACTCTTGTCAGCTTTGCAGACCCTGATTTAGGGAAGCTACCGGGAGATTTTAGTAAAGAGTTCAACCACGTCTGTGGATTTTAAACTCCGCATGGGTCATCTGAAGTCACATCTTTCAGCACTGACAGCAAAAGCTAATCTGTGCTGGTGAAAGGAGCAGACAAATAAGCCAGTCAATATCACAGTTCCTGTGCTTGGCAGAAGCATAAGGAATATTCCCTCCAAGATCATTCATTGCCCCTGAGAGGATGTAGGTGGCCAATCAGGCCTTGTATACCCAGCCTACATCAACCCAGAGGCCTGGGTAATTAAGTGATGATAAAGCCAGCGAGTTCCTACTAGCCAGCAAAAGTGCTTCAAAAGGGACCGTGACTTCCTCCAGCAGCACTGGGGCCCCTGCTGCTACTCTGCCTTGAATGAAGGGGCAGAGAAGTATTTGACAGATTAAACGGCAACATCTACATTACTCTGAAGGAATAGCCTCAGTAATTAACAGAGCACATCTGTTCCCCAGACTGTCTCACAGATGGGCTGGCTGCACGCTGCCTTTCCAGGCCTGCCTGGCAGCATGCAGACCCCTGCACACACTCAAGTCTGCTGAGCCTCGCACGCTTTGCAGCAACTGCTCCCTCCCTGGCTGCGGCTGCACCAGTTTGCTGTCTGTGCGACTGGCACTTGTAAAATCAAGGGTCAGCTCAGGATTGCTCCAAGCAGACACATAGCCACCTCCTAGTTCGATACGATCACCGAGATAGGAAGTACTAATGGGGCAGTACAGGCTGTAACACGCTGCGGTGACAAGCACAAGCAGAAATAGAGAGACCGCAGTTAAACAGTCTAACAGGGTCCTCATGGCAGACTGTCTTTCACAGTTTAAGCTCAGTTACAATCTCAATACAGTTTTGGAAACGCAGAATGCCAAGCTGTGGTTTACAGGGCAACGGTTATAAACTGAAGCTTTTCAGAGTTAATCAAACTTCTTTTCCAACGTCTGCTGGAAATGCTCTAGTGTAACTTGTGGGGAATGTCTTACATCGTTTACGTATTATAATCCTCCTCCCGAGCAAAGAAAGCCTCTTTCAGTCTGGGGTTCAGCTGTCTCTGACTAAGGGCTGTGGCATCTGAAAACTGCTGCACACTGTCCCATGAACCCTGGAGCTGACTGTTTATGTCTCTGAACTTGGCCAACGATATTCCTGGAATAAGCTTCTTTATACCTTTTTGTCAAGAGCCACATGTGCTGGAATGAAGCTTGAAGGTGGAGCCTGTTTGGCTCGCCCATAGGTCAGCGTGGGTCTCTTCTTGGATATTTCATCTAATTCAGCTTGAGAAAGCTGATTCACATATAGTCGCTCCCTGCCGATCCCCACTGTTGGCAGCCGAGGAAAGGCAAATCCATTTTTGTAGCCCAGTGTCTGGGACCGATGAAAAGATGTTTTCTGTGGAAGGAAATCCAGCTGTTAAAATACTACATGCACTTAGCAGATATAGCTACTGAAAGCACAGAAAAACAGTAAAACAGTATAATATCCAGAATGCCCCCCGCCCCCAGCATTTTATTATAACTTACTTCAGCAGTTATTTACAATCAGATTTTAAACTTAGATCAAGAAGGCTGAAAAAACAGTAAGGGGCTGGAGGAACAAAGCAGCAGAGTGAACTTGAATCCTAGCACTGGTACAGACTCCTCAAAAGCTTAAATCACTTAATTTCCCTATTGCCATCATTCTCGGTGCCTAGAATGGAGTGACAGCACTTCATCTGCCTTAGTATTTACCTCACAAAGTCTTTGTTCCCTACTCTGTGTTATGGCAGTACAGAGCACCATGTGAGCTCACTCTGTTACTGCCTTACAGTGCTCCCTTGACTATTACACCTTGTGCACCCTCTGTGTTTTCCATTGCTATTTATTTTGTTAACCCTCTCCTGGGGATGATAGTCACAGGATTTTCTTTGCTGGGCTAAATCAAGGTGTGTCATGCTCCCAGAACTGCAATTATGAAACCTACCAAAGTGTATTAGTTGTTTCACCACCTCTCTCCACAGTCTATGCAAGGATCACCCAGGCAGTTGGACTATATGATCGCTGTAGGTTCCTTCCAACTGAAATTTCTATTCTATTCTATTCTATTCTATTCTATTCTATTCTATTCTATTCTATTCTATTCTATTCTATTCTATTCTACTCTACTCTACTCTATTCTATTCTAACAACAGTGTAAGACCCTATAGCAGATTAATGAGAAGCCTGATGAAATGAGAAGAAGAATACCCACGTAAGCACTGTATAATGTTGGCTATAGGAGTCATCTTTTATTTTTAGTTTTGTTGGTTTAATCTTGGTTTTGGGCTTCTTGCAGCCTTTCACCTATCTTTGCTATCTGCCTGACGTCAGCTACTGAGCCACTCTTCAATCTAAACAATTATCCAGATGGCAAAGGAAGGTCCCTGCTTTGCTTAAGGACACACAACAAGAAAATGTCAGAGCTGAGCATAGGACCTGATTTCTGTCAGCCCAGTCCTGTTCCTCGCTACTGAAGATTAGGATCGCACTTGAGTGACACTAAGGTACTCAACTTGCAGTACAGTCCACCACGCCTGGTACCTCACTTGCAATCCTGAAAGCATTTGAAATAGCATGTGCCTGGCTGGTCCCACTGGGCTTTCAACACTTAATGCTCCAGAGAAAGCAGGAGAATTTATGAGTCCCTGATAATAAAATCCCTGACTTTACCTTGACTTTTGCCAAGTAAAACAGAGTTGTATTTGTTGCATTTCTAGCGCTGAAGGAACAAGCTTCAGCTCCTTTTCTAGACCCAGACTTGCAATCTGTCCAACCTCAGGCATGTGAGCCACTTCTTATCCGCCCCCTCCCTCACCCTTCATGGTTAAGCCTCTAATCTTATTTATGCCTTCAAGGCCCCACTTGAATTTCACACAATTGCCTGTTTTCTCTTTAAACTGGTACTACGGATCTCGCAATGCTGTGGGGAGAGCAGTTAGGAAAACAGGCTCAGGTGAAAACAAGAGAGCTTACTGAAGACAAGTTAACAGAACATCTTATAAACATTAGCCCTGCCACAGAACTGCCATTTCCTTCTGTTAAATAAATACCAAAGGAAAGCTATGGGAAAAATATTGAGGGAAAACCAGGAAGTTTGTCTTTAAATTGGGCAATATCAGTGTTCGTCAGAAGTGCAAGGGCTTTTAAGGGCCCACAGTTGCCTGAAGAAAACACCACAAAAATTCATAAGGCTCCCAAAGTTGATAGGCTCTCCCAAGTAAGCATGGATGCCAGATAACATCTCACAGTATCAGGTGACTCATGTAAATATAAAAGGGAAAACCCAGAATGTAAACTCCTAATTAGTTGCTCCCAATTCGTATCTGAAGACATTCCACTGAATGAAGTTCCTTCTTTTTGCCAAGTCTATAACGCTCCATGCAAACACTGTTCCCCCTCCCAGTGCCTCTGTTCCTCTGTCAGATGAGCACTAAGCAATGACAATAGTTTCTTATTTGAACACAGAGGTTTTCTTCAGCACTTCTCAGCATTCCCTTGGAAAACAAGTCTCACAATGCCCATTTTATAGACTGGAAAATTGAGGCAAAATGAGTTACTAGCACTCACTAGGGCTCATCCTGAGGAACACTGTAAAGCCATTTCTGGAGTCTAGATCTCCTTAAAACATTATCAGTACTTCATACTATCAAAACATTACCAATAATTCAGGTTACACTAAAATAACGATCTGCTTCGCTGAGTCCCGTGGGTGTTTCTTACATACACACAGCACTGCTGAAGTCAGTAAAAGCATTCACATGACTAACGCAGACAGGATTTTACTGATAGAGGAAATAATATTTTGCTAGGGGCAGAAATTTGCGTTGCAGATTTCCAAGACATTATAAATGATATTGAGGAAATAATATTATTAAGCTGACAATAATTCTGAGATAGCCTTTATTACTGTATGATTAAGAGTATTCGTTATGAGTAAATGACTCCACTTACTGTTGAAGAACTCAGTCGTCACTGACTTAGAAAATAATTTGACTGTTCGTGCTGGAAGGCACCACTAACACTGGTACAGTGACAATTTATCCTTGGGTAGCCCTAATCCACACACAAGCAGAATAAAGAAAAGAGAGGGTGCTATTTAGGAAAACAGAGACAGCTGGGTTCCCATAAAAGCATCCAGAATGGTCTGGACAGGGTTTACCAAGGCCCATCATGACACAGTCCTTGTCAAGAGCACATCTGTCAAACAGGTATTAGTGACACCACCACCACTGGTCTAAGGAACATAGGACAACATCCTCCTAAGGGAGCACTAGGTCCCTTCGGTGGTGTTACGATCCTTTAGAGGTTCCTCCCCACTCCGTCTGAGGAGTTACAGGGTACCTAGGAAATACTGTAGCCTCCTCTAGAAATACCAGGAGCATTGAGGCGGCAGGAGATGGAAGGGAAGCTTTCCTCTTTTGGGAGAATAACCGTTTCTGCTGGAACATCAAATAAGCATGAGGTCTGTGTCCTGGGAAGTTGAGAGGCTTTGTGAGTGATATGGGAAGAGCAGAGTGGGCTGACCTGCAGCAGGGCTCACCATCACTTGAGAAGATTTGCCAAAGGGTAGACTGGGTTGGTAAGAGGTTCTCTCTTCTGTAGAGCACAGTCTAGGGGACGTATCAGGAAGACATGGAAGTGCTTGTTCTGGAGGTGTCAGTCTTCAATAGGAATATCAAGGACAAGTAGTACTGTCCCAAGGTCGTCTTGTGGTTTTTTTTCAGTACACCATGTCCCATGACGAATGTTCACATGCAAGTATATGAGGTTCCTTATCCTGGTATACTAGAGCATACTGGGGCCCTGTTCTCCCGATCACCAGGCAACTTGGATGTATTGGGAGGGAACAGGGGGAAGAAGGGGTCTCACTCGGCATATGGAGCCTTATGGAAATGGAGGAGCCTGTTCTTAAGGATATGAAGCTCCAGGGGAATGCCCTGGTCTATCTGTTCCCTACAAAAGTCTGGGAGCATTGCTTCTGAAAGAGGCAGTCAGGGTATTGGTTTCTCAAACTGGAATTTATAGCATTGAGTTGAAGTTGAGCAATGGTGTCAAAACTTGAGATATTAGTTCCCCAGGGAGAAGGAAGGGCAGAGCTGTCAGCTGCTCTGAAACACTACTGGAAGGAACTGAGGGAGTATCAGTTCTCATCTGTGGAACTGCTTCCTCAAGAGGATATTGGTAGGATTTGGTGTTATCAGACCCTCAGTGTGTGGGCCATTAGGAATGGGGAATAGGAGAGGTTACTTCCTCATTTAGGTATCAAGTGCAGAGGATGAGGATGACACTACTTCTTCCAAGGAACCTGCGAGCAGCTGAGAGGGTCTCACTTCCTTGGCAGCATCCTGGAGGCTGTGGTAGTATCGGTTCTGCAGAGGGATACCAGTGCTCTGAAGCCTGTCAGGTTCTCAGGTTCCAGATCATTAATTCCCTATGAACTATTAAGGATTCAGTTCTCCAGGCCATACCAGGAGAGCATTTGTGGAAGTATCAGAGCTTTGGAGGAGAGGGTATCAGGAGAGTATTGGTTGGCCAGGAGATCGGTGACTTCAGGGTGTATCTGTCCCTTTAAGGGTGGTGGGTGGGTCCAAGACATACCTGTTTCCCTAGGTGTGCTGGGATGGTTTTGAGGATTAATTCCTAGTGGAGGACTGCTGAGGTTTGGAAAGTGTTGGTTCTCCGAGGTATATCAAGTCAGTTGAGGGGATATCAGGTGCGTTTAAGGGTCCTGGTTCAGGGCAGTATCAGAATGAGTAGCAGGTTCAGAACACATCCCTTTGGGAAAACTGATGGTTCAGAGAAACAGGAGTTTCCCTGGGGGAATCAGGTTTCAAGACTGTAACGTGAATATGGGGATGCGCCTTCTCTTGGGGTACCACATGGACTGGCGGGGGAACTATTGGATGGATTCAGAGGTACTGTATCTCCACGGGGTGAGTTTGCAGACAGTAGTTCTGCAGTTATAAGAAAGTTTTTGGGGTGTCAAATGAAACTGGGGGAACCCACATCTCCAAAGCTATCAGGATAATTTCAGGGGTTATCAGATGGGTGCAAAATGCAATGGGTTCCTTGGGGACAAGATTAAGAGCACCAAGTTCCCTGGAAGGTGGGCTCCTGGTCCCCTGGGAACAGACTTTAAATTACACTGGGAGTGTAACTTAGGGAGTACAAGGTCTGCTGTGGGTGGGATCAAGGGATACCAGGTGGGTTCAGAGACTTCAGGTCCCCTAGAAGTGAGCTCAGCAGGTATTTGGGAAACATCAAGTCCCCTGGGGGAGAGTTCAGTGGGTATTAGGTGTGCTGGGGAGCATCAAAGGAGTTTACAGGGCACCAGGTCCCTTGGAGGTCACTTCACAGGGTACCAGGTCCCCTGAAGGGTTCCTGGTGAGTTGGAGGGGTACCAGGTCCCAAGAACATGGGTTGTCAGGACACCCCCTCAGGGAATTTGGGAGGTAGCAGACCTCTTGGGCAAATTAGAGGGTGGTCTGAGGGAATAGGTGGTTCTCTCGGGGTGGGTTCAGGAGGTAACATGTCCCCCAGGGGAATATCAGGTGAGTTTAGGGGTACCAGGTTTCCCGGGGAGTTAGAGGAGGGTCTGAGGGAGTACCAGGTTCCCTGGAGGTGTGTTCAGGGGGTAGCAGGTCCCCCGGGGGAAGCCGGGCAGGGTGCAGGTCACTGACGGGTCCCTGGAGCAGGTGGGGGAGGTAGAGGTTCGGGTCTCAGGGGGATTTT